CTAGCCCAGTAAAAATTATCATACATTTATGATTAAAAAAAGTATTTGCCATATTGGTACTGACCATACATACACACAGGGAAACCCATTTCCTTGTTTTTCAAACTCGATTTTCGGTTGGTAACTTAAAATTTTTATTTATTACATACATTTTCGCAACCACCCGGACAAAAGGAGTTACTGAATATATATATCTAAGTAGTCAAAAGGGGGCAGCCCTCCTTGACGAGCACGAATATACTGCCCCCATCTCCTCTTGAAATGCGAAGTTCACTGTCGAGGTAAGTAGTGAGGAGCCATGAGTTTGCATAGTTGCTGGATATGGAGAATTTGAGTGGCGGCCGGCTAGAGATGGTCCTGGCTACAGACGAGGCTGTGTCTTGTACAGAGGTCAGAATACCTTTGAAGGGCGAGAGATCAATCTTTTGCCCGAGAAATTCCACGTTTTCGGGCAGCTCTATGGAGTCGGTCAATTGTGGGGTCCCAATCACGCCTTCTTCAAATTTAATCTGCAACAAAAGTTTATTTTTTATTTTTTTTTTGGTGAGTCTGCTTTTGAGTAGGGATGTTATGGAACCGAACCGAACCGAACTGAGCTTAAGGTTTTCGAGCTCTCGACTAATTTTCGAACATGTTCGTGTTCGTTCGTTTAATATTCGAACAAAAAATTTCGTTCGTGTTCGTTCGTTTATTGGTTCGACAAGTTCGTATTTGTTCATTTATTGGTTCGACAAGTTCGTGTTCGTTCGTTTATATAGTCGACTTGTTCGTGAAAATTATTCCACTAGTTCGTGTTCGTGTTTGCTCAAGTTATTTTATTTAATATTTAATATATATCCATATTTATATATTATATTATATATGTATACACTATATACAATATATAAAATTATAAAATACCTTTTTTGTTCGCGATCGCTCGTTTAGTTCGCTAACTTGTTCGTGTTTGTTCGACAACTAAACGAGCATAATTTCATGTTCGAGTTCAGTTCGATTACTAAACGAACAGGCTGTTATCGAACACGAACGAGCTGTTATCGAGCTTTGTTAACCCTAACTTCTGCATTTCTGAGTGGAGGAGTATATTCCTTCCATTTTTCCGAAATCCAGAGTTCTAGTTCTGATTTTACATATATGCTTCTTTAATTCTTACAACTTTCAGCTTTAATTTGCCAGCAATCTTAAAATAAAATTATGTTCAAACTTGGCTTCTCCTAACAATCTAATACAAATCATGTCCTATAAAAGCAAAAGTTTGTTCCGTAAAAATTTCTAACGTGTTCATATCATATAGAATTGAGTTTCTGAATTGAGTTTATGGGGAAACAACTAATAGTACAAGTAGAATAAAGGAATAACCTGCACGCGCTTGGGACTCCGAACTTCGAATTTGGCATTGGTGGAAATTGCAGTAGTTGCCAATGGTCCAGCAAAAAGGACGGAGTTCTGGACAGTGAAATTCTCAGAGTCAATAGTCTGAGATATCTCTTCAAGTTTCACCAGAGGTAGACCGGCACCCCTTGACAACAATGGGAACAAGCCCGCAAATGATGTGTACCTGCAGTGCTCGATTGGAATGCCAAATGAACAATCAATCAATAGCTGCAAATTGAGATTTCGGCATTCAAATGGTATTATCACAAATTTTTCAAGAAATTAAAAGCATAGCATCCATAATAGAGTTAGATTACTCCCAAATCGCACATGAGTTATCATCCGAATACATTATTGCCTAATATGAAGAATAACAATATAGTAAACTAGATTCAAATATTCATCAACTACCAACAAACAAGCTCCAATCCATCATCAAGTACAATTTTCCACATTAAAATACATTCAATTTTATTGAAATATCATAGTTTTTAATTCATCATCCAAACATATCTGAAATACAAAGCATCAAGGTCTCCATGGAGCTAACTAGCCATCACCTGCCATATCCTATCCTGCTTGAACAAGCTTCCAGCTCACTCAAAAATATTCATATTTTCCCCAGATAGAAACATTTCTCTACAATATTCATATCTCTTATAACCAGAAACAATTTTCATGTAAAACATTGTACAAATAAGATACAGCCAGATACTTATGAAATCTTCACAACAGGCAATAGCACCACCAGCCACACAGTACTGACGGTAATAACAGAAAATATTGGCCTTCACACAACAAAAAACAAGCAAAATCACCGACCTTGTGATTTCCTTAGCAAGTGAAATCCAAAAGAAAAGGAGGAAAAAAACAAATCAAGCCGAACTTACGCGAGAATCCATTTCCCGTTGAGTAACGACAGAGCCTCAGTCGGCGCCGGCGTCGGATTCTTTGCCTCGAGCTGCGTAATGAGCTCCACGATCTCCGCCCTCGTCTCGCTGGAGGCGCTCAGCCCCCTGTTCGTCCCGTAGAAAGACCCCACCAGCTGCTTCTTCAGCACATCGACCTCCGACGGTTTCTCCTCCAGAACCGCCACCGACGGATCGGACTTCGGCTCAGGACCCCACTCGTCTTCGATCGCCGCCGCCCGGACGGAGAAACTCTGCTTCGCCCTAGTTGACTCTGAAAACGAAAGAGGCGCCAAATTAACCCGATTAACCGGATGAAGAGCGGATATCGGTAAGGAAGCCGAGCGCTGAGATGAGCTCCCGAAGGTCTTCAATGGAAGCTGGAATACGGAAGCCATGGACGCCATTTTTTTGTGGAGGTTTTTCGGTTTATGGGACTGAAAGACGACAGAACAGAGTTGAAAGAAAAACTGTGAATTGTTTAGTTGGGCCGGGTTTATATAACCCGATAATAGGATATGAACCGGAAGTTCAAATGACGGTATTGCCCTTGTGTGAGGTTTCGTGTAACTATTGTGTTCGTGAATGAAACACACATTTTGTGTGGGCCCCTGGGAAAGATTGAGCAAGACATTGAATTTGTTGAGCATCACAAATAACATATAACTATGTTAATTTTTTTGGAATATTCTCCATTATTGTAGTTTTATTTTGTTCTTTTCTTTAGTAATAATAATAAATAAAAATAATAATAATCATTATAATATATACTACAAATAATTTAATATAAAAAAAATTCGTTTCCCACTCCTTTGGAGTATACATAACAAAGATCGTTACATTTTATAGTTATATTTTATTAATTGAGTAAAATATATATATTTTTAAATATTCTATCATATAATAGTTATTACTAAAATTAACTAATTATATTTACACTAAATGTAAGATATATGAAAATTACACAAGCATAAAATAATTATATTGTAATTTATTTTTCAATTTATTTATTTCAAATTAATATTATTCTTATTTATTAACTATTTATTTTGGACGAGGAATATGTGAAATCGACCAGAATAGATAAAGTTAATCTATCATGTCCAATAATAATTTTGATTTGAAGAAAACTTATAACTTTATGTCGAGAATTGGACAAGTTACAAGTTTTTAGAATTTGGCGAATGATTGATGTAAAGTCTCTAAATATCTAATAACTTTTAATTTTATATAAGTATTCAAAAATTTAAATAAAATAGACGGATTTTGAAATCTCAAGATTTTTCAAATATATAAATAAAAGTGATAAAAGTGCCTGTGCATTTTTCAACCATGCACGCTTA